ACTTACATCCTAGCTGGCAGTTAGCATTCCTAGACTTAAAGGTGCGGTCCCTCTTCGTAGTGATATAGCACGCCCTCAGACAGGGCAAGAACTCATCACTCCTAAGTGGAATCCCTAGCTAGAAAAAGAAGCCTGGAAGGGACATCTGACTACAAAACAGGCTGCAGATTGCAACCTTCTTTTTCCCCTTCTAATTCCAGCCCCAGAACTTCCCAGTGATCATCTTTCCCACCTTGCACGGTGACAGCCACCTTGGAGGAGAACATGGGCGCACTCTCCACTGGGATGCGCATGGTGCCAGAGCACTGGTAGTGGCCGCTGTCACTAGATCGTGCCTGTAACACCGTGTAGTTGGTGCTCGAATGGAAGTATCTCACGGCCTGACCATCGTGGTAGTAATGAAGCTTGTAGACGACTTTGTCGTACCAGCCACGACAGCGCATCACCAGGGGCTCTCCCTCGAACACAGGAGCATAAGGCACTTGCAGAATTAGCCAGTCTGCAACAGACCCCACAGACAATATTTATTCATCAGAAAAACCAGCCCTGCATGGGGTGATGGAGTTCGTCTTTAATCCCAGCACCCCCCGGAGGCAGAGGCAGGAGGATCTCTGTGAGTTCTAGGCCAGCCTGATCTTACACAGTTCCAGGACAGCCAAGGCTGTTACACAGAGAAACCCTGTCTTAAACCTAAACAAGAAAACCCAGCTCTGCAGGTCTCTCCTTCTCAGCTTCCCTTAACCACCTCTCACCTTCCCCACCCCCACTCCTGGTGCCATTGCCGTCTGTACTTTTTGGGCCACCAAACCCCTTTCCTATTTCCTGGCCTGGTGACTAACACCTGGGATCCTCGTGGTGCAGAAAACTGAAAAGGAGGAAGGAAAATGGTACCAGGGAAGCAAAGATGCCTCAGATGTGCTCCAGCCTCAAAGAGCCTCTTTCGGAATCGAGCTTAGACCCCACAGCACAGCTTCATGGCCTTCCTGACCTAGACCTGATAGCCTTTCCTGTGCCCCTGGGTTTCTTCTTCACCCACCTCACCATTTCATTCAACAGAAGCTAGAGCCAGCCACACTGAACTGCTCAGAAAACTGACTCTGTACAGGGTCCAGGGTCTTCATAAAGCTATTTTCTCAACTCAAAAGATCCCGCTTCTCGGCTTAAATTGAGTCCTACAGGCCCTGCAAGCCTGCGTTTAGGCCTTATCACCTGAAGGAAACATCTTTGAGAACAGCCGTAAGTATCTCCTACAGCACCCTGTATTTACCCAGTTGCTACCGCCACCACCGCCGCCACCCCCACCCCCACAGCACTTACTATCCTTAGCACATCCTAGAGGCCATTTTAGGTATTAGACATTTTTAAATTATTTATTTATTCATTCATTGGTTTAGAATTAGGTGTCTATGCCTGGGTCTGTGTGGGTATGTCCTGTTGAGTGCAGGTGCCAGAGGAGGCCAGAAGAGGGTGTCATATCCCCTGGATCTGGAGTTACATCCCCTGGTTATGGCCTGATGTGGGTGCTGGGAACGCAACTCCAGTTCTCTGCAAGAGCAGTACGCATGCTTAACCACTGAGCCATCTCTCCGGCACCGGTTTTAGGTATTACACACTGAAAAAGAATCCTGCAGGCCAGGTATGTTGGTGCATATCTGTCATCCCAGTACTTGGAAAGCAGAAGCAGGAGGGTTGAAAGCCAAGGCATGCCTGGGCTTCATACGGAAACCCTGTGCCCAGAAAACAAGGCATAGTCACAGTTTCTGTGCCACTCTCAGTCTGTCTGCTATGGCCGCCATCTTGTGGGCATCCCTGCTTCCACATGGCCTTAAACAGGAAACCTCTAGACATGTTAATTTGAACATCAACCAGGGTTCTTTAGATGCTTAATAAAGATGACTGTAAAGTTAAGGTCATCAATCTTCCATATAAAGCAGCCAATCATGTATGTTTTTTTTGGGGGGGGGGTTCGAGGCAGGGTTTCTCTGTGTAGCTTTGGAGCCTATCCTGGCACTCGCTCTGGAGACCAGGCTGGCCTCGAACTCACAGAGATCCGCCTGCCTCTGCCTCCCGAGTGCTGGGATTAAAGGTGTGCACCACCAATGCCCTGACCAATCGTGTATCTTAATGAGTACGTTTTTTATGACTTTTCCTATCCTGGTTTTTTGTTTTGTGGTTTCACTTATTTGTTTGTTTTAACATGGGATACTATTCACTATGCACCCTGGCTGGATAATTTGCAGTTATCCTTCTGCGTCTGCTTCCCGAGTGCTAGGATGACAGGTATCACCGCCACACCCAGTTTTCTCATTCCTGTTTTGAAACTCTTCAGATCTTCTCAGAGTTAGTTCTCAGTTGACTCCTGGATGCTCATGTGTACATACCAACAACAAAAGTTTCTAAGTTCTTTGTTCAGTTACCCTGCCTGCCTTCCTCCTTCTCTTCCCCTTCCCCATCTCTTTCTCTCTCTTATTTCATTCTTTATAAAAAAAAAAAGACTTTTGAGACAGAGTATTACTATACTGCCTAGGTGGGTCTCAAACTTTGGTAATGGCCTCAGCCTCCTGAATTTGAGATTACGGTGTGTAATCTCATGCCTGGCAACCTTTTTCTTCTTTAAAGACTTATCTATTTATTATATATACAGTGTTCTGCCTGCATGTATACCTGTAGGCCAGAGGGGGACACTGGATGGAAATGAACTCAGGACCTTTGGAAGAGCAACCAGTGTGCTTAAGCACTGAGCCATCTCTCCAGCCCCCCCCCACACACATTTTTTTAACATAACAAATAAGCAGAGAAACCCTGTCTCAAAAGCAAACGAACAAAAAGATCACAAATAAATAACTTTCACTGTGGTTTTGTTTTTCAAACAAAAAAAGATTGTTTCTTCCTCTTTACCTCCATTGCCCCATCTCTTCCTTGTACCCTACCATTTCCAATAGCTTTTTCTTACTATGGATACTTACATGTTGCACTGGCCTTGTGGCACCCTTACCTCTCCATTTCTCAGCATCTCTTGGTCTCCTATCTAATATTATGAAATATACCCCATTCTCACATCCCCTTATTTACATACACGAAAATATTAAAAGTTAGAATCTTGGCTAATTATGGTGGCACACACCTTTAATCTCAGCATTTAAGAGGCAGGGGCAGGTAAGTCTCTGTGAGTTCAAGGCCATCATACAAAAGTTAGTAAGTGAGACCCTGTCTCAAGAAAACAAAACAAGCAAGCAAGCAGAAAGGACCCTGGTTGGGTGTGGTGGTGCATGCCAGTACTCAAGAGGCAGACACAAAGGAATCCTTGTAAATGCAAAGCCAACCTGGTCTACATAGTGAGTTCCAGGCCA